CGGCAGGGGCACTCCACTCCAGGATCAGCGACGACTGCCGCAGGCTGTAGACCAGGTTCCTCGGGGCGGAGGGTGGACCTGCAAGCAGAAAAGTGTCTGTGCACGGGTGCCAGGACAGCTGGGCGCTGCCTGGGGAGAAGGGTGAACCTACAGGTCCTCTGGGAGCAGCAGAACAGGCACCGGTGGTGGAGCAAGAGCACGCGGTCCTAGGCAGCCACAGCGCATGGCAGCACAAGGGGACACGGATGCACTGACGCACTCAGCACGGTGGGGACACCGGTCAGAGGATCCCCACCGGAGGGACATGTTATACACAGCAAGCTGCAGCTCACACAGCGTGCGAGAAGCACCTGGCTGGACGCGGCACCTCTCCGGGGTTCGGCTGCAAGGGGCCCAGAAGCCCTGCCCCTGGTCGGACACCGCCCAGCCACGCTCGCTCTCAGGCAAAGCAGGAGGTTTCTCATCACTGTGAGACAGCTCTATGGCATCCATCACTGGAGTAGCTGAGGTTCAATCCAATTAACTAGAGGCCATTTAATTAAAATCTGTGAACTATATTGACTAAATGACTGTGCCCTAGTTTTACCAGGGAGTTTGCAAGCCCGACCACACATCTGTCTCATCAGATTGCAGCCTCAGCCTGCGAGCTCTGTGGCATACGGACAGCCCCTCCATCCCCTCCCCACCGCGGCAGCACCCTAGTGCAGACAGGACCTCCTAGGGACACGCGTGCTCCCATGGGCTAGCAGGGGGACAGCCTCGGACAGCCTCCCGGGCACACACTCAGCTCTGCGCTGCAGGACAGACACAGCATCTGGATCCCCATATCCTCGCTTTACAAAGAGCCGGCGTTTCAGCGAGACATACGTGTGCAGGAGGCAGATGGTGGGTCTGACGGTGACCTGGAGTAGTTCTTCTGGCAAGAACAGAATGTGGAGGCTTCCTCATGCGTGAAGCTGTGTTCAGGGCAAGGAGAGCAGAAAGGGAGACGGAGGGAAAGCTTGTAAAATCCAGGAAGGCAAGCTGAAAAGACAGACAGAGGGAGTTAAGGGAAGAACACCACAAGATGAACGGGGTATACATCTGATGATTGCATTTCCCCATTTCCTGGGACATCCTTTGCCTGCCACTGGCCAGCAGATATCACCCTCCAAGCTACCTTCCCTGAGCGCCTGCATGATCCTGGCACCAAGAGAAATGTGCCTTTGGTTTGACCCAGAATGGACATTTGGATGCCGTAGCTTTGCACTGACTTCCAGGCTGGGGGACCCTTTCAAGGGGCTGGAGGAATGGTCAGACATCAGGGGGAGAAACACATGGAGGGAGCTGGAGGTTCTGGAGGGACTTAGAGGACAAGGTGGCTGCAGAAAGATGCAGGATATGGAAAACACACGGCTTAGGGTTTAGAGTCAGGTGAGCAGAGCAGAAATAACATGGGAGCCACAGCAAGACTCAGCAACAACGCCAAAAGGGGAGGAATATTGAAAATGGAGAAGTTGGAGACTTCATCAGTCACCAGAGCTTCATATACAAACCCAAGCCACAAGGCCATGTCACTGGCAGCTACGGCTTTATCATCGTGGATTATACAGCAGTCACTGCAGGTAGTGAGGTATGTGCTGAAGTTAAACAACAGTAGTATAAATTTGCTTTTATAGGTCATACGCAGGCTTCCCTTATCCTTTTAAAAGTATCTTTGATACGCAAACAAGTAATTCACACGCTGGTCAAGATTTTGCTTGATCTTTGCTTGATCTTTGATCTATTTGCTTGAACCTACAAGCAATACCCCTAGCAGGACACCCAGAAGCTAGTTCTGCATGAAAGACTTATTACCTTACAAAAACAACAACAAAGACAGCGAAACTCCACAAAGCAGTTTGCAACAGCTTCAGTTTGACCCTAAAACATCTGAAAAGGAAGCAGCCTGCAAAGAAATGGGTGCCTGTCATTGCTGAGTGCCCCAGAGGGCATGGGCACACCTCCTGCCTGCCTGCACAGAGGTCCCCTCAGGCTGGCAGCCCCTCCGTGCTGAGGGGTGACTCCCACCCAGCAGTTCCAGCCTAAGGGGCAGGAGTTTGTCTCAGCTGGATGTCAAGCCACACAGAAGCACTCCTGTTTTGCTTGGCTCCTTCATCTTCTTGGTGTGGTGCTGCTGTCTGCTATCCCTTCATCAGCTCCCTGAATATTTAAACTTAATCACTTGTAAAGTTCCTAGATGAACAGCTCCACTAATGCAGTCCCCACTCTTATCATTTTTAAGGAGTTGGCTGCTGAGACTGCTCCTTTTAAAGCAGATTATTCCAGTGCACTCTGGTTCATTAATTTTTAGCATGATATAAAACTGGCAGCCACAGCTGTGATCTGAGGACAAAGCACTGGACATAGCTCAGGGCGGAGAGGATCTTTCCCTGGGATGCTGAAAATGGATGAACATTTAAGGGGAGGTTATTTAATCTACCGCAAGGTCTTTAGAAATTCAGTGCCCTGCAGTCACACACGGGGAGGGACCACAGCACCATGGCTGAGGTTCGTACTCCCCGCGGCCCCTTCATCCCCTGGCCGCTGGCACACGACAGACAGCAGCTTGGCAGAGCTGGGAGCAGCAACGCACATGAAATATTTTTGCTTTTCTTACATAACAGATACAGCCTTTCAAGAGCTGCCTAAAGGCCTTGCTCCTTGCCAGATAAGATCTTGTGCTGTCGTGTCACCCAGCGCAAGTAAAGCCTGCAGAAAGCAGCAGATTTGGCCTCCTCAAGCCCATTCCAGTCATGCCCAAGAAATGAAGAGATACTTCCTTGTACCCGGCATGGAAATTGCAACTTTCCAACTGATATGGACTCAACATTGTATTTCTATAGCAAAACTGAAGAGTTGAATTGTTAAAATGGAGAATAAAAAACCCAAAACTTTTAAAAAATGAGGGAACGAAAATTACTATTATTTAGCCCATTTATTTCTAGGCCCCCTCTTGGCTGTGGTTCCTTGCTAAACTGGACAAGACAAAGCATTTCAGCGCACGCTGCAGTCGCCCAGACATGAAGGGTAGCCTCAGTGGGCTCTGGCCAGCTGAGCTGGTGACTGAGCTGGACATCGGGACCCTGCAGCGGTCACTGGAGATGCACAGGCATTTCTTGCCTGCCTGCCCTGCCTGCAATGTTGGCACTGGGTAAGACGATTCATGTGCCAGGAGCCCTCATTGCTCTCACTGGCTGCAAGGGGAGCGCAGACACCTTCACTGGTTGTCAATGCCTGCCGGACAGCTGGAACATCCTCTCCCAAGAGGTGCTGGATGCAGGATTTCTAGGAAAATATGTGTTTCTAGGAAAAAGAATCTACATTTGCTCCTTGATCTTGCAAACTCTCGGCAACAGCTGCTGCCAGTATGGCACTGGAAAGCCTGCGGTTTTATATTCACCTCTCCCATCCCAGTCTGCACACCTCCAATGCCAGATATAGCTAACCTTTAAAAGCTAACCCTAACCGGGCTTGACAACAGAGAAGTAAGATTAAGACAGTGAGCCACAATGCATAGTAAATGTCATTCCCTACCTAGGGTGCTAGATGAAACAGGAAAAACTAGCAATTACTCCCAAAACTTCCAGCTTCCTCTTCATATTTGAGAAACAAAACCAAAACTAATGTTACATTCATATGACGGAGACATAGTTAGCTTGCTTTTCCTTTAGTTAGGCAGCACTGACCACAACACAGGGCAGAAATAGCACCAGTGGCCCGCTAAAGGTCCCAACACCCTGCACGCACAGGGCACAGCCACTTCCAGAGAGCAGAAGCCTGAGAGCACATCCTACCACAACGGAGGAGGCAGCCAGATTTCAACAGAGAAACCCAGCACGAGCATCGAGCACTTGGAGATCTCCACTGGAAGAGCGACCAACAGTGAGCCGAAGACATGCTACGCCCATCCTGAAGAGGCAGAGAATCCGCAGACCCCCCAGATCCCGCAGTCCCCCATGCTGGGGACAATGTTTGAACTTCCCCGAACACTCGGGCATTTCCTCCCGGCGTGTCGGGAGCTGACCCGAGCGCACGTCCAGGGCTGGGGCTCGCATCGCCACAGAACCGGCCCTTCTCCCAGCGGCTGGAGGACACGGGGAGATGCGCGCCCCGAGAGCAGAGCCAGGGCACAGCTGGTCCCCTGATGCCTCCTGGCAGACAGCCCCGGGATGGGACAGGGCTCATGTCGCTGCACATCGATTGCAGCCTCTGTCTGCTGCAGCTTCAGCTCAAGCTCATCCTCCCCGCAGGGAGAAGCCTACCTCGTTATGGCATCTAAGTCTGAACGCTGGCGCGAGATTCCTGCTCGCACCCTCTGTCAGGCAAAACAGAAAAATCAATCTATCTTGTTTACAAACTTGATGGGACCTGAGCACTAAACCCAGAGCATACCGCTGCCATACCTCGGATTTAAAGGTGAGCCTGACAGTCACATAGATTTGACATCTCATCATAGGAAATTGAACGTTTTCAGTTAGAAGCATCTTTCAGGCTGTTCCTCCCTGTTTTCTAATAACCAGGAGAAGTAAGTTTACAAAAGTGTCTGTCAGAAGATATGTCGGTTAATAACTGTATGAAACGCCTCGATTTGCATTTCCCAGAAACACAGGCACGCCAACCCTGCGTGAGCGCATCCCACGAGGAGCCTGGGCGCAGCTCAGCCGGTGGGCTTACTTGTTAGTTTTGTTCCTCGGTTGTCTGAATCTTACGCTTGAGAAGAACAAAAGCGCCCCAGCACATGTGATGCATCATATGTGCATCTCCGTTTCTTTTCTCAGATAAACTCCCACCCTCTTCCACCTCATCCTACAAGTGTTTTTCTTGGTCCCCAGCTGGTTTAGGTGTCCCTGTTATTTCGCAGTGCTCGTTTTTGCAGTGGGTATGTGGCAGCTCTCAGGAGATCAGGCCATCAATTTATAGATTGAAACTCTCTTTTTTGCACACTATTTTCTTTCCTATTCCTTGTCCTCTGGTACTACTGCAACTTCATTATTAAACAATAAAATTCAATAATACATTCTCCTAGAGCCAAAGAGAAGCAGCTGGATGGGTCAGACAGATTAATTGCCTCTCTCCAGCTCCATCATCACTGCCCACACAAGCTACTCCCTGTTCACCAGGCATGCCTTATCCATTTCACTGACAGAGAGAGCACATGTTCCTTCCTTGATATAACACTGTATGCACACACGATCAAACTAGTAGCAGAACAAGCAACACTGATTTGAGCTGCAGCTTGGCAGATTACCCGGCACGATGCACCCACGGAAAGGGTTTCTCTTACCAACTCATCTGCCGCAGCTCCTCGGACAAGAGCGGATGGCTGAATTGAGAGGAGAAGGCAACGTCCTCTCTCAGGCCCAGCCTGTGCCATAGGGAAAGCAGGGGCAATTGAGGATGCAGAGTTGAAAAATGCCTGGTTTTCTACTCAGCTGACATGGGACAGCTTTAATCTTCCCTCCCCAGCAGTTCAGACATCTCCATCTCACAGCACCATGAAGCCTGCCAACTAGGATTTCCTGCCAGCGGCTCCTAGGCATAACCTTCCTCTCCAGCCAGGGACTCGGAGTCACAGCGCCAAGGATGCTGAAGCTGCTCCTTCACCAGCAAGGATCTCAACATTTTCTAAGCTGCAGCTAGCTGAGTGTACAAGTTTTGGCTTAAAAAATGGCAGAAGAGATCCCCAGCTGAAATCCTGATTAATCGGCAAAAGGGCATCAGAGTTTGAGCAGCTTTATCTTGTTAATCAATGAACAGTGATTAAAAGTGACTCACTATGTGCATCAAGTAGGACAACCTGACTGCAGGACGCAGGCTCTGCAAGCTCCAGGGGTGATTGTAGTCACTGTTCAAGTGAAGCATGGCCAAGATTTTGCATGCAGCAGTAATCACCCTGGCAGTATTTACCAGCTGGTCAGCAGTCTTTTACTTTGTGCACTTATCATACCCATCATTGCAACAGTTTACTACCTCAAACAATTAAGTTAACCTTTGCTTTCTTT